CTGTGTGTGTGTGTGTGTCTGTGTGTGTGTGTGTGTCTGTGGGGGGGGGGTTAGGTGGGAGAGGAAAGAAGTGATCATTTTTATGTTTTTTGATACTTTAATGTTTTTATGTCTGAGCAGCAGGTGTCAGTTCTCAATTGTACTGTTATCATGTGTGTGTGTGTGTGTGTGTGTGTGTGTGTGTCAGGATTGTGGTACATGGACAGCCGTTCCTGATGGCGATCGAGCCGTACTCTGGACAAGTTTATAACTTTGGCAGATTTCATAAACTCTCCAGGACCATGGTAAGACTGGATCCTGCACATTATTCTAACCAGTTTTTCTTTTCTTTTGTTTTTGTGTTGATGTTTTTGTTATTGTGTTGATGTATTRGTTGTTTTGTTTTTGTTTGTCTTCTGGAGGCCAGTCTTTATCGATGTTTAAACTCTGTGTTGTTTCTGTCTGCAGGTGTTGGAGGTGAGCGATCACTACCCAGTGATGGTGCAGTTAAAGAGCTCCGCCCCCCGCCCCCCTCCTTCAGGCCACGCCTCTGCTGATCCTCCTCGGTGTCTCTGTGATCGTTCAGTTCTGCCTGCAGGCTCTGTGATCGTCTGCTTCAAACGCTGAACATGTTTTTTTAATCAGCTGGAGGAAAGTTAAATAATGTTTTTGTGCCATGAAACCAGTCTGAGCTGTAGAATGGTCAGAAGATCAGGGTGATTTTAATGTCATTTTATGCTTTTATTTTGTAGTTTTAACCATCAGTTTTTGACTAAATTTCCACCAAAGAAGAAGAAAGCTGCAGATTAAATTTTTACAGAAACAAGCTGTTTATTAGATGTGAAACGTTGGTTTGTTGCTGTTTTTGATCCTTCGGTTGACCTGCAGACTCAGACAGGAAACTGTTCCAGACTGGAAGAGTTTCACAGTAAACCTCAAAATACTAAATAAAACACAGTAAATGTTTTTTTTTAGGAATAAACTTTAGTAATGTTAGATCAAATTGTCAGAGTTTAGGGGGATATTTCTGTTTTCCCCCTCCTGTAATGTGTTTTTCTGAACATCAGAAACTGATGTCAATAAATTTGGGAGTTTTTAGACTTTTGATGTTTGTTTTTATGTTCGTTAAATTTGTTCACGTTAAACTTTTAAAAGCTCACCTATTGATTTTTTACCAAGTAAGGGATCTGAAATTACAGATATAAAGTTTTCTTCTTTAATATTGTGCATTCTTCAGAGCTTGAATCCTGCAGATCTGCTGCTGGGCTGATGAGACGTCATTTCTATGAAACAGAGATCGTCTATTTTTTGTTTTGGGAAAGATGCATCACTTCTACAAAATGTTTCTTCCTTTCAGGTAATTTTGTCATCTATTCAAACCTGAACATGAGTTCATCAGCCTTCAGTCAGAATAATGTAAGGCTGTTTTCATAACGAGATAGTTCACCTCTAAAATATTTTAGCAACTTTAGAGACGATAGTTCGCCTCCAAATATTTTATCCTGGCATGAGATAGTTCTTTACTTGTTTTATATTAAAAAGTATCCCCGCATTACTTTTTACATCGGTAGTAGTAGTAGTAGTATTCGTCTGAAGCCTGATACTAAGTAGAATTGGTTGCATGACGCGTCATTCAAAATGTTTACTCAGCAGAGTGAGACCTCTTCACTAGGATCTTTGCTGCGTTAGGAAACGTGGCCCTAATGAGTTTCCGGAAACACGCAGAGTGAGACTTCCTCCTGTCACTGGGATCTCTGCTGCTTTAGCAAACGTGGCCTTCCGGAGACCCATCAGGACCCTGGACCCGGCAGAACCCAGCAGCAGAACCTGGTAGATGAATGAGAACCTSACAGCTTCAGCTTCCTTCACCAACCCGACCGTCTGTTGTTTTCCGGCCCCGGCAGCCCCCCAAAGCCCCTCTGAAGAACCGCCATGTCTGAGACAGAACCGGTCCCGGTCCCGGCCCCCGAGGCCTCCGTTCTGGACGCCCTGAACGCCACGGACTCSAACGGGACCGAGGCTCTGAACGCGACCGTTAAGTTCGTGGCCACCCCGGAGGGCACGGCGCTGGCGTACGGCAGCCTGGTGCTCATGGCCCTGCTGCCCATCTTCTTCGGAGCCCTGCGGTCCGTCACCTGCTCCAAGTCCAAGGTAAGAACCAGACCCAGAACCAGACCCAGAACCAGGGTCCAGAATAGAAACGGGAATCTCGGGTAAGAAGCAGAACCCAACCAAGGCAGGACCGAGAACCGGAGCGGGTCGCGGTGTAGCTGTTAGCCTGCGCCGGCTAGCTGCTGCAGCTAACGGCTAGCTGCTGCAGCTAAAGGCTAGCTAAAACATTACATTAATTATTTAATTAATTTAAAATTAAACTCCTTACACCTGGTAATAAACCAGAGTCAGGCAGAAAACTGCGTCTCGTTTGTTCAAAAACATCACTACAACCCGTCCAGAACCGGAAACGGACCCGGTCCGGTTATACAGGTGTTTGTTGTTGTTTACCGTGAAGTAAACAAACAAGTTGTTGACTTTGTTTTGGGAGGTTGTGGCTGTAGTTTATTATCCAGATGTATGTTTGTTTACTCCTCTGTCTCAGGTAGTTATTTGTTGTTTATCTCGGTTTGTTTGTTTGTTTGTTTGTTTGTTTGTTTGTTTGTTTGTTTACTCTCCTGGTCCAGTTGTTTACCTGTCATCAGACGTCACCTGGTTCTGAACAGGTCTGACAGCTGCAGAGAACCACAGGAAGCTGACCTGTGTGTGTGTGTGTGTGTGTGTGTGTGTGTGTGTGTGTGTGTGTGTGTGTTCCTGCATTGATTTGATGGAGTGTTCAGCTGATCTGTTTTGTTTTAATAAGGTTTTAATATTTAATAATTGAACATGTAAAAGTGGCAGTCTTCAGGTGACCTGAGCCTCCAAATGAAATGTTTTTATTTATTTATCTGTATTTATCTCAGAATTAGTTTTAAACATCACTATGAACACCTGAAGCTGTCGGACCTTCAGCAGGTTCTGGTCGGTGCTGATCGCTTGTGTTTCATGTGAAAGTAGAGCTGTATCGATTCAGATTTCACAAATCGATTCGATTCACAACGATTCAGTTTGATTTTAAGGACATCTGAAGCAGGTAACACGTTTACTTTGATATAGAAGACATTCTTAAAGGAACTCATTCTGTAAATAGAAACTAATTAAACTTGGTTTGTTGGTTAAATTATAAACATTAAAGAGCCTGTAACATGCAAATCCATGAAATACACAAACTCAAAGAAAATGTTTTTATATTTAAGAAACTTAGCTTAATACACATGATTTTACATCTTATGTCACATAATTGGCTTATTTTCTTTTGAATTTGGCTCAGATGAAGTGAAACAGGAAGTYACATCAAAGGGGAACTCTTTGAGAAAGAAAACTCTAGTTTTTGATTATTTAAACAATATTATTTGACCTGTATGATTCTTTCTCAACTRTCTTTGATAGTTATTAAAATAATGTYAAGAAKCATCAGATTCTTCTCTACAGTCTGTGGTGTTGGTTTTTGTAGCAACGCTCTGCTCACATGCAGACATCCCCCTCTGACATCACTTCCTGTTACACTTTGACATCACTTCCTGTTACACTTTGGCATCACTTCCTGTTACTGAACATGTAAACATCTCAACAACTGTTCACCTCAGCAGCAGGAAATCTTCTTTACAATATGTTTACAATATGTTCTTTACAAAATAATACATTCGTATTTATTAGAGATTTGATGTCACGGGCACTTTAATGGCAAACTTGTAAATTAGAGTTTAACCTTAAAACAAACTGTCTCAAGTTTCAAAGGAATTGACAGAGAAAGTGTTGTTGGATACATAAGTTTTTAATAATTTTCTTGATCATTAAGAAGTGATGGAATCAGGCTACAGGAGAAGAGCTGGGATAAAATAAGTGTTTACTTCTGCCCACTCTTGAGTTTATAAAAACTGTATTTGTAATGTTTCTGTTAGCTTCTGTTCAATAAAACTCTTATTAACAAGAAGAAAGAAAAAAGAGAACAGGAGCTAAAACATTTCATC